GCGTGCGTGCAGCATTCAGTACTCCATCAGTTGTTGCAAATAAATATTATTATTATTATTTTATTCAAATATTGTCTAATTGTGTCTTATTTACTATTGAACGTTTTCAAAGTGATTTAATGTATTTATTATTATTATTATTAGGGCTTCATGTTAATGTTAATTTAATGTTTATGCTAAAAAAACTGCATATAGCTGCTAATTGTATTTGTTGTTTGTAGATTTTCAAATATAAAACGTATTGAAATGTTTTCAGTGTGTGTATCAGTTCTTTTTGAACATTTTCATCTCATTTTAACAAAACCGTGATAGTATTGATAATCGTGATAACTGTGGTTACTATAATCGTGGTATGAAATTTTCATACCGTTACATCCCTACCCCTACCCCTTCACGTGAATGTGCGAAACGTAGGGGTAGGGGAAAGGGCAAGGGCTAAGGGGTAGAATTGGGATTGGGCCTAAGACTTTGCATACAATTGATTCCAATAGATTTTTTTTTGTGTGATTAGCATGTTGCAAGTTAACAATAAAATAAACCGTAGGGATGTAACGATGAACCGCGAGCCGGTTGAAAATCTATTCAAATATGTGACGATTCAAATCGGTTGAGATGCTAAACAAATCGTGATACAATTGGGGTAGGAGTTTATATGAATGTATGTCTGAGGGGAACTGACTGTCTTTAGAAATGTTTAGATGGCATTTTCTTTTCATCTTGCCTCTGCAGTTCATAAGCGCAGCTCTGCTTTGTTTACAGCGGTAACCCAAGAAAACACTGTATCATTGCTATTCATAAGCGCCACCTGCTGGCAGAGAGTGAATTTGCGTCTCATTCAGCTCGTCTGCCGTTTCATTCAGATATGTTTTATATATAGTTTCACAAAACTAAAGTCAGACCATTCTGTTTTTGCTTCAAATTTTGAAATTATACAGTCTAATTTAGATTAAAAACTGAGCATGTTGCATGTATGCAGCATCTTTGTTTGGATCATGATTAAAATGCAGTGGTTGCCTCTAATTTTAAATGGAAAGAGCACAGACAAAGCCTTAGTTTGTTTATATGAAGAGATTTCTTTTATTTGTGTATCTTATTTATTTGATTTGGGGTTTGTTTTAAAATTTCAATTTAGTTTTGTTATATTTCAATATTACAAAGAAACGTGCAGCAATTGCCTAATAAAAGGACACCTTTTCATTTACTGTATAATTTGTCTTCAATCTCATTTTGTTAAAAAAATCATGAGAAAATCGAATCGTGAGTTGAGTGAATCGTTACATCCCTAATAAACATAGTCCATTTTGGATTTAACTATGTTAAACAATACTTTTCAGTATTGGTTGAAATATTTTTCTTAACATTTCTTTTGTCACTTTTTTTGCATGTAGTCACAATTTTTATGATGGTTAGAATTATGGTGGTTTAGGTAGTATTATTGTTCTTTAACTTATTTACTTACAATTGGCAGGGGAATGTTCATTTTATGCACCATGAGTCAAAAGCTGCATTCCATTTCACATACTATCCTTCCCAAAATAGTATTTGAAATTAGAATTAGTGTGTCCCAAATCGTAGTATGTTGAAATGAGTATTCCAAAGGCACCCGGATAGTTTACTATTTCTGGTTA